GCGAGGCCCGGGACTCTGAATTTTAACAGGCGAGAACCACTGGACTCGGAGACTTGGTGCTTGGCCTTAGAATAAACCTGGGCTCTACCTCTGTCTAGCTTTGTGCTCTTGGACAAGCTCATTTAATATTTTTCTATAAAATGGGGTTACTGCCTCGCAGAGTTGTAAAGTTTACATGAGATGATATGAAAAGATGGAACTTATTATAACTATTATTGTTGTTATTATTGATACATCAAAGAGTAAGAAGTTTAAAAGGCTAGGGAGAAGGGATAACACCACAGTGGAAAACAGAAAAATGAGGTGTCTAGGGAGCTCTTTCAACAATTAGTACAAAAATGGAAGAATCCGGTAATCTTAGAAATAGGCCAGATCTTGAAGTCCATTTGCAGCAAGTGATTTTTAACTGTTAATAATTATATTTCAATCTTTTGAGTAATTAACTTATTCACAGATACTAACAAAGGAATACAGTCAAAATTCTTTCCCCCACTTTTTCCTGGCCCCCCAGAACACATTCTTTAATGATACTTAATAATATTAGTAGTCATAATATTTACTAATAATATTAGTAATAATAATTATTTACCATTTTCTCCATGCCGCCCATTGTTCTCAGTACTTTGTGAATATTAACTTGTTTACAGGCTCTGAAGCAGATGCTGTAATTTTGTCTTTTTTGTGAATGAGGAAACGGAAGCACAGAGAGGATAACTTGCCCATGATCACTGAGCTGTGTGTGGCGGAGCAGGGTTTTAAACCCAGACGGTCCAGCCCTGGAATACGTGGCTTGATCCGTTACATCATCCTTCATTTGTTACTTTATGCAAATACAAACAAATATAAAGATGTTACATTTTCCCCTCGTTTTTTCCCAAAAGGGAATTGTTCTCACTGTTCTGCCCTTTGGTTTTGGTCCATACGTAACACTACTTACTGTGGAAATCACCACACATCAGGACAGAGGGCTTCCTCATTCTTTTTATGTAATACTATGTGGTTTTGATTAAAGACCCAGCCCTTTATGGTCCAACCAGGAAGTGGAGACAGAACTGGATCTTTGTACCTGTCCTGCTGGTCCTTAGGGGAGTGAGGGGCTAATTGAATAAACGTATGTCTGCCAGCCAGGTCTTTTAATTGAGGGATGGTATTGAGGTTCAAATCTGGAAATAGAGGCAGGGGAAAAACGGGAAGAAAACTTGTCAGCCTGAAAGCATTTCCAAATGGTGTTAGATGTCACCCACAAAAGGAATACTTAAGCAACACAGTTCTCCCCTGTCCCTGCAGAATCAGCAACTAGAGGCTTCCCTAGAAGAGTTGCCTCTCAGAAATCAGTTCCCTCCTAAATGTGAGGCTTTATTTAACTAATACCTCTTGGAGCAGCCCTGCAACAAGAATTGGCCAAATGGACGTAATGCAATGCACTCGCAAGAGTCTCCAAGGGGGAAGGGGGTAAAAGACAAAATCCCCAGAAGCTGCCCCAAAGCCTGACAGCTGTTAGGTGGCACTCTAAGCTCTTGGAGTCCAATTCTAACAGAACGTGCCTGTATGCAGTGGACTTCACAATCCACTTTTTCTTTCCCGGTCCTTTCTCCCCAATGCCTTCTTGACAATTATTTCCTCCTTTCATTTATTTCTATCCAGGTTCATGTGTTAAGCTGATCACCAGGGTTTATTCCCCCAAAGTTAAGCTACAGCTGGAGTTTTGCCAAGGCCAGTGCCTCTTAGGAAAATGAATTCAATGCGAGTGAATTGATAATCACTCTCTTAATACACATCCGTGGTCTGGGAATGCCTGGGTTTAACAAACAGCTATTTTGGTTTGAAGGAAAAATTAATATTGACTGACTCAAATCCAGAAAGAAGAAGCAGATATTAAGTTCATTTTGAAAATTAAGAGTTTTAGGGTTAGGTTAGGTAAGGGGACTATTTCTTACCTCCTTTTTGAGATATTTACCAAGGATAAGAATCACATTTCATATTCAATTTTAAGGTACTTTTCACAACCATGGAAAATATTTTCTTTAAAGTATGCATATCTTTATTACCCTACTGTGTTCCTTTAAAAAAAAACAGTTAATTTTCCAAATTCTATTCTGATAGAAGCAGAGTCCAAGCCAGTTTGTCTCATAAAAGATGCTCAGTGGTTTTGTTTTGCTAATCATTGAGAATGGGCTAATGAATGCAGCTTAAAAACATCACACCTTGTTTATTCTTTGGTTATCGTTGTACAGTTTGTTTTAAAATTATTCATATTGCGGAAGATAGAAGTTGAATTTTATCTCTGAACAGGCTCTCATGCATAAATTGTCCTCCAGCCCTCCAGACTCAGTGCTACTCTTATTAGGGTCTTTGAATGGCCTTAAATGACTTACACCTGTCAGGAGCCAATGAGAGAATGCAGGTGAGGAGAGTTTAACAAGGTCCCAGCCCATAATAAGGATTGGCAAATGTTGATTGCTGTTATCAGATGACCTATCAAATGGGGATGATTATGCCCCTAGAGGTGTCAACTGAAGACCAAAGATTCTATATGCATAGGAGAGGCTGTGCACTGATATTTCAGCAGGGGTCATTGACAGTGAGGCAATAAGGAAGTCAGCCCTTCTCCTCCCCACATGGCATGTCCTTCAACAGCACAGAAACTCACTTTGCCGATATTTGACTTCTCTGAGCCCTTGTGGTGGCCTGGGAGGGGAGAAGGCTACATAGGAGTGCCTGCGCCCACCGAGTCCCCCATCTAATTTTGTGCCAGCCATGGAAGGCCCCATTTTCCAGGAGAGGAAGTTGATGCTCTGTGAAGGGCAGAGATTCACTGACCTAGGTCACACAGGTGGCTGGATGCAGACCCCTGTCTGACCCCAAGTCCAGCGCTCTTTAGAGCTGCCTCTCTGGGGGAGGAAGTGTGAACAGGAGCTGGCATCATCCTTGTAAACGGACAGCAATGAAGAGAGGGAAAAGTTAGGGGCACAGAGTCAGGATATGTCTCTTTTAAAAATAAAATGTCATGGAAGAAATTTGGCCTTATCAAAGTGGAGGAGAGGGTCATGTTGACGTTGAAAAATGGCAGTAAATGAACCTGAAAGTTCGTGCACAGAGGACATCTGTAACCTGGACCAAGCTAGGAGGAAGTAAAGGAAAAGCCATGTCCTTTCAGAGAGGGAGAAACTAACAGATAAGATTCAATGAAAGTTCAAAGTAAAACACCTTTGGACCCACAGCCATCAGGTAACACTTTCACTTCTTCCAACTTTTGATGAGAGCTTGGAGAGAATGGCGGACAAATCGTTCAAAATTCTAACACATCTTCAAGGGCACCGGGCTCTGGAATGCTGACATGGAAGTCTGAGGGCTAGGCGATGGTCCCACTTTGCCTGTCACTAGCTGGGTGACTTTGGACAACTCCCTGTCTCTCTGTGGACCTCAACTTTCAGATCCAAAAAATGAGGGAATAAGACTCCATTCATTCATTCATATAATACATTTTTAACCTAATTCCCCTGACTAGACTCTCTTGTGCAATATTTAACAAAAGTGGCAAGAGTGGACATATTTGACTTGCTCCTGATCTTAGAAGGAAAGCATTCAGCCTTTCATCATGAAATGTATTAGCTGTAGGTTTTTTATAAATGCCGTTTTCAGGCTGAGTTATTTCCGTTGTAATCCCAGTTTATTTAGCATATTTATCTTAACAGGGTGTTGGATTTTATCAAATGTTTTTTCGGCATAAATCAAGTTGATTCTATGATTTTTGTTCTTTATTTTATTAATATGATGGATTACATTAATTGATTTTTGGATATTAAGCAGCCTTGTATTCCTGGGATTAGTCATACTTGGTCATGATTTATAATCCCATTTATAGATTGCTAAATTTGACTTCTTAATATTCTGTTAAGGATTTTGCATCTATATTCACAAGGGATATTGGTCTCTAGTTTATCACAAATACTTATTGAGCAACTTCTGTGCCAGGCATTATTCTAGGTATTGGGGATTCAGCGATTTTTTTAGAACAATTAAAAAAAAAATGTCTTCTTTCATGGAACTTACATTCGAGTGGATGACTAGCAAGGATGCTACTATCCACTTGCATTTGACAATTTTTTCTCTTTCCTCTCAATGATACCCCATGTTCCAGCCTCAGCGCTTACGTGGTAGACTTTTGGTAAACTGGACATCAGTGTCTGGGGATTGCAAGGGGCCTGCTTTCTTTTTTATACATCCACATAGAAAAGGGCACACACTAATGAATTTTCACTGACACACCCATGTAGCCAGCACCCATATCAGGAACAAAATATGACCAGCACCTGAGATAGTCCTCATGCCTCCCACCATTGGGAAAACCCCCTCCAACTTCTAATACCAGGTACTGGTTTTCTGAACTTTATAAAAATGGAGTCGTACTATAGATACCCTTTTGCCTATTGGTTCTTTCACTCAGTATTGTATTTGTGAGATTCATTCCTGTGACTTCATGTTGTCATGGTTTGTTTATTTTCGTTGTTATCTAGTATTGCCTTGTATACATTGTATCCATTCTGTTGTAATTGGGCATTTGGATTATTTCCTGTTTGGGGCTGTTGACCACACAGTACCGCTGTGCACATGTGTGGATCTGTCTTTTGGTAAACATGTCTGCTCACTTTGGGGTATATACCCAAGAGCGGAATTGCCCTGTCGTAGGGTATATTTCAGTTAAGTTTTAGTAGATTCTGCAGCTTTCAACTCCAGGTGCTACACATGGTCACCAACACACAGTAGCCATTCTGGTATCACATTATGATTTTAATTTTCATTTCTCTGGCATCTCATAAAACTAAGATTTATGTTTCTTATAAATGTGACAATTAAACAGAGCCACCTGGTCACCCCAGGTGTTTTCTTCACAGAGTCTGCAGCTTTCTTGGGCACCCCTTTCATGCTGGTAGTAAAACCCAGGGGCCATTACTGTCCGAACTTCTTCCGCAGCCCTGACTGTCTTTATATCTTCACAGTAAGAAGAAAAATGACGCTGGGAAATCAATCAAAGCTACCCGGAGCCGAGAGCCTGCATATCAGTATAACATGGATTTTGAGAAGGTGGGCAAATGCATCATCATAAACAACAAGAACTTCAACAGATCGACAGGTTGGTGTTGTGGGCATGGGCTCCGCTTTCCTGTTCCCTCCCAGTTTCTTCAACTTGTGTTAAGACTTGTATAAGATGTTCAGCAGAGAATGCTGCGCCTGTCTGCTGTGGCAGACAGCCTCTCCGTAGATGGGATGCGCACGTCCAGGAGAAAGGGATGCAGAGAAACGGAACTTTCCATCTAAAGCCCCACCATGTGCATCAGCTGATGTGGGACTTGCAGCAAAGGGCTACGAATCAAGGGGAGCTATTTGGCCTTGACCGGAGCTGCGAGTTAGCCCTTAGCTGCACTTGGCCCCCGATTGGATGATGCCGGCAGACAGTGATCAGCCAGGGGTTGCTCATCATGAACTTGTGTTTGATTCCCACAGGTATGTCCGTCCGGAATGGAACAGACAGAGATGCTGACGCCCTTTTCAAGTGCTTCCGAAAACTGGGTTTCGACGTGGCCGTCTATAATGACTGCACTTGTACCATGATGAAGGATCTGCTGAAGCAAGGTGCGTGCCTACCACCTCCTGCCTCCGTCTTTTCCCTGCCCCAGCTGGTCGGAAGGATGCTTTCCCAGGACACAGGGATCGCAGCATGGGAAGCCTTTCCTTCCGCCGGGCCACTCCATACCTGTCTCCAGGGTATACGGGTCTCTTTCAGGAAACTTAGATCCCTCTCTCTAACAAGAGAAGAATATCAGCTTAGATGACAACAAGAGAAGTAGGCTCTCTATCTACAGAATGGCCTCAATTTCAAAAGGCTAATTCCTAGCGAGGTAACAAATCGATGTCGTTCTGCCCAGAACAGCGTTTAAGGGTAAACTTTTCTCTGGTGGCAGGTAGGGAAGACTAACCCCCGTGTACCTCAGCCCCTGAAAACCACCGTTCTGCTTTCTACCTCTATGAACTTGACTCCTCTAGGTACCTCTTAAGGGCAATCGTCAAGTATTTGTCCTTTAGTGACCGGTTTCTTTCACTTAGCGTGATGTTTTTTTAACAAATACTTGCGCAATACTTCTTATGTGGCCTGCATTCCAAATATGAACTCATCTATTAGGTGTATTGTTTCCGTTTTACAGACAAGGACACCAAGGCATAAAATGGCAAAGAAACTTGCCCAGTGTCACAGGCCTAACAAACAGCAGGGCTACCCGCTTCCACACCCCAAAATGCTGCCTCCCAGCAGCTGCCTGAATCCCTCCCACCCTTGAGGCCCCCTTCTTCATGAGGCAGCCTCTTTCTGGTTTCAGACTGAAAAGTCTAGACTATTCTCTCTCTCTGACTTCTCTCCCTTGGTCCTCCTTCTTGCCAGAGGGGTGCTCCTCCCCGTGAACACCCCTCTGTCTGTGGCAGCTGCCAGGCTGGAAGGGAATACTACATCTGAGGACCCACAGGACTTATATCTTAACTTTTCAGTGTTCAAATCGCTTGCTTGCAGCTTCTGAAGAGGACCACAAAAATGCAGCCTGCTTCGCCTGTGTCTTATTAAGCCATGGAGAAGAAAACTTGATTTATGGAACAGATGGCATGACACCAATAAAGGACTTGGCGGGCTATTTTAGGGGCGATAGATGCAAAACCCTTTTAGAGAAACCCAAACTCTTCTTCATTCAGGTAATCCAGGGTCTCAAAGCCAGTACAATTGAAAACTGGAAAGATTACCAAGTCACTTGGATGTATCATTGTTACAGATCTACGTGCTGTTTGAATTTGGGGGTGCAAATTTAGGTTTTGTTTTCCTACCTCTAAATGCTTGGCAGCTGTACTTGCTTCTGATCACAAATCATGGGTTTGTTTTTTTTTAAGACATCAGATACCTTTATTTGCTTAGCTTACTAATTCAGTTTAACACTCATTGAGTCATTCATCAGATTTATCATTGAGCTCCCACTACATGCCAAGCACAGTTCTAGGCACTAGGACTCAGCAGTGTCCTACACACAGTGTTTCTATTCCCAACTCCGTGGAGTGACGTCTGCTTTGATATTTAGGCGTGCCGTGGGGCAGACTTCGATGACGGGATCCAGGCCGACTCGGGGCCTATCAACGACCCAGATGCCAACTCCCAGTGTAAGGTCCCAGTGGAGGCCGACTTTCTCTTCGCCTACTCCACAGTTCCAGGTAACAAGTCCATTGTCTGCTAACTGGACCCTGCCATTCCACCGTCAAAATGCTGCAGTGCTGAACTACTGCACACCTAGTGCACACCGAGTGCATACAAGTGTTTGTATGAGCGTACAGCTCTGGGGATCAGAATTCCATCGTGGGTTGGCAGGGCTGCATTCCTTCTGGAGGCGGCAGAGGGGAGCCCTTGCTTTGTCCAGCATTTAGAACCTCCTGCATTCCTTGGCCGGTGGCCCCCTTCCTCCAGCTTCAGAGCCAGCAACTGCACGTCTCTCTGACCCTTTTTCGTTCTTACAAGGCTCGCTCTGACCACAGCTGGGAAAGGGTCTCCTCTTTTAAGGACTCGTATGATCAGATGAGGCCCGCCTGGATAATTCAGGCTAACCTCTCCATCTCGTTTCCATAAGCTTAATCACATCTGCAAAGTCGCTTTTGCCATGGCGTGTACATTCGGTCACAAGTTCCTCAGTTAGAATGTGGACGTCTCTGGGGGCCATTATTCTTTCTGCCTAGCACAGGGATATTTTCACTTTTTTCTCCAAGAAAGCAGAATTCTCTTACTATCAATGGTAATTAGAAGAACAAACGTTTCTATAGCACTTTTAGTTTGCAAAGTGTTTTTCATGTCTTTTTACCTCATATCATCCTTACGATAGCTATGTAGGTGGTTAGGAAAGGTGTTATTGCTTTTCTAATTTTACAGATAAAAAAAAAAAGCTTGGGTGAGCTTACCTGACGTGTTCAAGGTCACAGAGATTTCAGTACCTAGTAGAGGAATAGCTCTGACCAGGGTTCCTTTACACTGCAAGCTACATAAACGGGCAGCAGGAAATGCTAGTGATGAGCAGGCCTGCTCGCTATTCACCAAGCTCCGTGTTTGCCTGAGTCAGGCCAATGGAAGGCCTTCCTTTGTTTGGGGTAAAAGCCATCACTAAGTGAGAACTCTCCCAGCTATAGTAGAAGTCTGTCAAGTGCTTGACACAGAGGGATTGGTTATAGCAAATAGGTCAGTGTGTTTGGAAAACCATCTCTGGCAGGACCTACAGATGGCATGTTGTGAGAATGATAGCTTCACAAATTTTAAGGATTGTTTAAGAAAATAATTTGGCCTTCCTGCTCTTGAGAGGGAAGCAGTGTCGTTGGGGCATCTATCTGTAAACACACCCAGTGGTAGGATTGTAGGTGCTCTGAGCAGGGTCTGGGGGAAGGAAAAGAAGAGTGAACTCTCAGGAGGCAGGTGAGACAGGGTTTCTTAAAAAAGAAGAGCTGCTATAACCGAGAAAAATCAAACAACAGGAAAGGGAGATGGTTTACCAGATAGAGTACTGAGGGGTCAGTTGCCCAAAGCAATGGTAAAACTCAAAAGGCTAGACCACAGGGTGCGTTCGTCAGCTCAAGCAGCTATAACAAAACAAAACATGAACGAGGGGGCCTAAACAACAGAAATATATTTCTCACAGTTCTGTAGGCTAGGAGGTTCAAGATCAAGGTGCTAGCCAGTTTGGTTTCTGATGAGAGCTCTCTTCCTGGCTTGTAGACGACTGTGTCCTCACGTGGCAGAGAGACTGAGAGAGACAGAGGTTACAGCACAGGGTGTGACAGGGCATTGGCAAGGTGCAAACCTGGACAGGTAGGCAGAGAGCCGCATTGTGGCGGGCCCTGCATGCTGTGCTGAGCAGTCTGAACTTCACCTTGATACAGAGTGCAAGGGAACTATTTTTGGTAGGAGAGTCACAGGCTGAGATCTGCGTGTTAGAATAGTTACCTCGGAGACCATGTAGGACAGGGGTTAGAGAACATGAACGCAGGGGCAGTAACGAAATGGAGGTGGTAGTACATATCTCGCCTCAGCAGGGTGTTGTATTGAATGAGGTAACTTGCGTGACACTCCCCCACGTGAAATGCATTGTCATGCTGCTTATGCCACCGTTGCTCGGGTCTTCGTGCTGGGAATTGTCCATACTGTGTGCTGCAGGAAAGGATTCCGAGTGCACCTCAATCGCGTTACACAAATAGGTTATTTCTGCTTTTTATACATTTATTCAGTAACTGATTGTCATAAATGGCAATATGATGACCCAATTCTCATCAAACCGGTTGTGCCTAGTGGACAGTGAGAAGAAGCACAGCTCATCACGTAAACCAAATATACAACTTCCTGTTTCTCACTGTCCTTGAAAGGTTGGGTATGGAGGTGGCAGGACAGTCCCTGCCCCAGACGAAAACTCCAGTCAGTCTGTGGCTTTGCTGCTCGTGCTAAGAGATTAGACAACACTGTGGTCATTTTTAAAGTCACAGTCACAGTACTTAACCAGGTTGTCCAGTCTGAGACAATAACTAAAACCCCCCACCTGACTTGGCTTTAAATTTCTCCCGATTCCAAATCAGCCCTGCTCTCAGGCTGAGGTGCTACGGGGCCTTGATCCTTCAGTTTTCTCATATCCTTTCCCTTTTGCCAAATCCGTGTTTAAACTCTCCCAAGCTCAGAGAGGGAGGGAGGCAAGTTAAGGTCCCGTGGTCACCTGACCTTTTGTGCCCTGGACCACTAAGATGATCAAAGCTGGTGCTTTCCTCCTGGGCATTTTCATGAGTCCCTGGGTTACCTGGGGTCCACTTCTTGGCCCTTGGATTGGCTTCTGCTTTCCTGGTTGTGCATTGTGGGCATCCTCCAAGGGACTTGTCCAGCCTCTTCCTGTTGAGGTCTCCTTGCCCCTTCAAGAAACCCTGTTGGACAGGACCCAGGGCAAACCAAGAGCCAGCTTCCTCTACCATGGACCATGTGTGGTCCACAAAAAGCGCACCCCTCCCCCTGCTGTGCTGGCCCTCCCCGGGCAGCAGACTCTCCTGGCTCTGCCCCAAGGCAGTTGGTCAGTCGCCTCTTGCCTCTAGATTTCTTCAGCAGGAACCAGCCTCTAGTCCTCCCTCAACAGCAGGACCACCTGTGAAAATCCTCTGCGGTCCCCTGCAAACTCCCCTCCCGAGGTTTGGATTCGAAAGGAGCACTCACCCCAAAGGGTGCCGAGGAGGTCCAGAGCTATGGAGTGGTTCTCCGGCGTTTCCTTTGGAAAGCTCCCTGTGCCAACTTGTCTCATGCTCACTTAGGCATCTGACAGGTATCCATTCTGGAACACCAAAGCATTTGTTGAGCAATCCTCTAATTCTAAGATGTTTGCTCTCTGAGCACACCAGCACAATCCTCGTTAGGGACTTGCATGCATAGTCGAGTGGAATAATTTCAGAAAAGCCCCAAGCCCCAAGAGCTCCTTCTCAGGGCTGGGCGGAGCCTCGGCCAGCCCAGCTCATCTTCTGATCTTCTCTTTCCTCTCCTGTTCAAGGCTATTACTCCTGGAGGAACCCAGGAAGCGGCTCCTGGTTTGTGCAGGCCCTCAGCTCCACCCTGAACGAGCACGGGAAAAGCCTGGAGATCTTACAGATCCTCACCAGAGTGAACAACAGGGTGGCCAGGGACTTCGAGTCTCAGTCTGAAGACCCACGCTTCCACAAGAAGAAACAGATCCCCTGCCTGGTCTCCATGCTCACCAAAGAGCTCTACTTCTGCAAATAACCATTCCAGGGGTGCACTCCAGCTGAAAAGCAATTGCTCGTTTGTTCATGAGTCAGGCTTTTTTTTTTTTTTCTCTTGAAATATACAGAAATTTTAATTTTAGGAAAATTTATTGATTGAAGGAAAAAGAAACTTGCTGGTGCTGTCTTAGGTTCTCTGGATTTTCAAAGACTTTTTTTTTTTTTTTTTACAATGGTATCTATTTGATGATGTTGTAATTTCCTCTGAAGATTATTTTCTGGTTGTATTTTTTTTGGTGTTGTCGCACTTAATACATACAACAAAAATGACCTCCGCAGATGACTCTCGGCTGTGTCCAGTGTGCTTGGTAAATCGTCACATTCCTATTTGTACCTGGCAAAGAGAGTTGCAGTGCTTGCCAAAACACAGCCGAGGGGCTGTGCAGTCCCCTGTATCGCAGAAAGTGGGTATTGAGTGTGATTTGAGTGATTTTTCAGTGGCTTAGGGCAGATTCTCGAGCAGAAATTCCCAGAGAAGTTAGAGAGGAAAATAATGTAATGATTCTAATAAGTACCAGTCAGGAAAACAGAAACCATTCTAGGTGTTTCAGTAGAGGGAATTTGCTAGAGGAAATTGACTTATGTAGATGATAAAAGAGAAGCCAAATAAAAGGAAGCTGTTACCACTGAGGGCTGTGAGGAGGTGTGGTTCCCTGAGACCTGAAGCTAGGGTCATCCACAGGAGCGGGAACCTCGCCTGGAGAGAGCTAGGCCCACCAAGGAGTTATAGAAAATGGAGCCATGGCAGGGACCAAGCCACTGCCTGAGATGGGACAACACCAGATATCTGAGTCAGACGTGGAGAAATATCCTGTCTTCACTTCTGCCTTTGAGTCTTTCTCCAGCACCTTACCCTTCCAGCCCCACCTGGAATCCAGCTAACAAGGGCCCTGGGAAGTGTAAGAGCAAAGAAAGAGATAGTGAGGCAGGGGAGGAACAAGAAGTGGATATAAGACTGCCCATAATGTGAATAGACGTCATCACATTCCATGATGTTCAACAATCCCTCCATTCAATCATTTATTCATTCACTTCTCAGATAATCTACGTACGAGTATTGCCTGCCATGTGCAAAATAATCTGTTTTAGTTTTTAAGATATACCTGGAACTTTTTAAATTATTCCAAGCCTTATCCTCAGTAAATTTTGTGTTACCTCTACTTCTGTAAATTAGGGAAAGTTTATGGAAAGATTTTTGCTTTCAAAGTCATGTTACCTTTTTAATTCTTGGTAAATTACTATGCTATTCTCCGAATAACTGGTTAGCAAACAAATGTGTATATTTATTGATTAAAATGTGGTTCTTAATTCCTAGCCTGCTCAGTTTGTTTTCCTTTTGCAGTATTTTACGGCAGTTGAGAAAATGAGAAAACAGGATAAGACTCGACCTCGACACAAAATACAATTCACATTTCTTTTGAAGCTAGAACACTGAGAAAACAATAAGCAATCATTTTGGAAGCTGAAACTCTTCATACAAAAGCCTAATCAACTTATGAAACTGTTTGTGATGGGCTGCCATTTATTAATTTGGCGACAAAATCAGATGGTGTAAAAGTATCTTCTTTCACTAGGAAAACTAGTCAGGGCCAGTGTGTATTCGACTTGTCCCTGGTTTCCTGCCATGTAAAATATACCAAATGTTCAAAATTTAAGTGGAGATCATGAATCAAGAATGAGCAAGCATCTCTCCTACTTTTCCCAGAATTCACAGGCTGTTCTGTGGAAAATAGACTATCAAAATTCCGTATCATAGAAATGTGCCTAAGTGTATTGTAATTTGAAGTAAAAATCATCGCACTCTAGTTATTTGCCTTGGAAGCTTTTAGTAAAGAGAAATGACCCCAAGTGTCAGTGTTATTTATTTTTTTTTAATAATTCTCTGACCAGTTATAGGCATTTGGTTTATAAATAATGAACATTACCTCATGTCCCTTGGTCCGGAGATATAAATCACTGTTCAGAAAAAGCCTTTATCCTTGACTTCTTCATGGGGCAGACACTTGTTTACCAAAATTGGAAGTCCTATTCCAAGTATGTGTTCAGTCACACACCTGCGTTCTTAAACTTTCTGACCTTGAATAATCTGAAATTCTGATGACAAGTTACCCAAAAGGAGAACTCCATCCAGGTGGATATACGTTCCTAGTTGTCATTCTTATTTGGAGCTCAAGCCCCCCTCTTGCCAGAGTAACAGGAAGAGCCCTGTTGTCATCTGAGGAAGACAGTGCAGGTCCGTGGTGACATAATGGGCTTAGATCTGTGTTTCTCTGTTTTTTCTCAAGGTGCCACTCACCTATTTTAGTGTCAGCATTAGGCCTGCTCTCAGGTTTTTCTCTGAGCACATTCCCCTGAACCATCATAAGCCTATTGTGTTTATAAACGGCCCCAAGTAGGTCTCAAAATAAAGTGCTGGGGTTCAGTGTATCTGTGAGGTTTACAGCCAAAAGGAAACCAAGCCACTCTGTGAGAAAGAAAACAATGTCCACTGACAGGGCATGGACACTGGTTGACAAATCTTTTTTTTGTCCCGTCTTGCAGTGTGTCATCTGAAATCTTTTGTCCAGTTACTCTGGCTACCAAGGATTACCTTCTGACTTCCTAGGAGCACACCCTTCCATCTATCAATAGCTTTTTATCTGTCAGGCCCTTTTCCAGCAGACACCTGGCTAGGTGAGAAGCTCCGGTGGACACCAGTGTAAAGCAGCAGTTCACCTGTGTATTAGGCAAGGTAACACATATTCATAGTATTAACCAGGTATCACTAATTTCTGAAGGAATGTGATCCTTAACAGTTCTTCAAAGATATGCAAAGTAAAGGGCTCTTTGACACTTTGCCTTGTAAATATTTTAGCATCTTATCACACCCAAGTGTGCACAGTGACATCAGCATCCCCTGGGAGCTTGGCAGAAATGCAGACTCTCAGGCCCCACCCCGGACCTACTCGAAAAGAATCTGCATTTTAACCAGATCCCCAGGAGATCCATGTGCTCATTACACTTTGGGAAGCTCAGTTTGGAGAGCAAGGATCACTTGTTTACACATTTTTGCTTCCCCTCTGTGCTGCACATGGAGCTGATGAAGTACATACTTAAAAAGAATTAGTGAAAGAACATACATGTTTTGGAGCTTTCGTGGAAGACATGTTTTCAAACATCTCTGAACCTTCAGCAAATCCTCTTGTAAAGCTACGTGATGCCCTTAATTTACATAGTATACTTTCTATGCCTTTCTCCATTTTAAATGAGCCTTCTGCTGAGCGATGTAATGGGATTGTTTATATGTTCTCAAAGTTTCCACAAATGTGAAGTGCAGCCTTTAAAATGTCTTCATAAACAGAACGGGATTAAGGGAGCCATTCCTTGCACATTTTCGTTGGCGGCAGGCGTTGTTATGCATTGAAGCCACAGAGTTTGTCTCTTCCCATCTATCCTTGGAGCCAGGGGACATCAAGAGAATTATTCTCTTTCCCTGCCAGTGTACCCGCAGGCCGTAGATCACCCTTTTGATACACCTCAGAGCTTTGTTTAGGATCAGATGGCAAATAATTCTTTTTGATTCAAATCATGAACACAGACACACCAAGAACACATTTGGAAGGCCCCAGCCACTACACAGTCCTGACGCAGCCATGCAAACTCCACTCGCTTGCAGGGTCATCCATGATTAACCCTCTAAAAATACATGATCAACATTTGAAAACACAAAAGCCAAATATGATGAGTTGGCTTTGGTGTGACTATATGGCACTATAAATATTTATGGAACGACAATTTTCTAATAAATTTGTTTTAAGCATATAAAAGCCAAACTCTGCCAAAAGATTTAAATTTAGAAGGTGCATAGGGTTATGGCTGCAATGCCTAGCTTAAAACACTCAAAATGTAGGTAACAAAGATGATGATGATGATGAGATGGCTACGACAATGATGCGAAGTTTATGGAAAGGACAAGAATAGAAGATGCTCCGCTACACCCTCCACTCACTCTTTTTGCTTCAAGGACTGTTTCCTTGATCACATCTAGTCAGTGCCTTTCAAGTTGAAGTCTCTCAGAAATGCAGGGATTATACCAATGATTGGTTTATGCACCAAACATTTAAACAGCCCTAGTAAATGGGGGGGGGGGGCGGAGGGGGGCTAAAAAGATAACTAAGAAATGATGCTTTCCCCAGAAGAGGGAAATACATCACTCTAGTAAAATAGTGGGTGTAGCAGAGTTGTGTGTACATTACTCTGAAATACAGTTGAGAGGATGCCCCCCTCTGCTTGGGGATTCAAAGAGGGGTTTTCCAGAAGAAATATCAAATCCTCTTCTATGTTAGCCTCCCAACAAGGCTGAGGAAAAGCAGAAGAGAAAGGGAAATGAACGAAGGTCAGCAGGTAGATGGTTCCTGTACTCTAGTGATTCTCAAACTTGAAGGTGCCTGAGAATCCTGGAGGGTCTGTTAATGAAATGGATTCCTGTGCCCAAATCACCCCTGTTGTAATTCAGTATTTCTGGGGTAGAGACCAGTAATCTACACATTTAACAAGCCTGCCTGAAGGTTCTGATGTAAGTGGTCCTAGGACCACATGCTTATACTGATACCCAAGGTTCCCTTGCAGAGCAGCATGAGTGGCAGCAACGTGTGAATTAAACAGCTGGGAAAGACCACCAAACGGCCAGCAATGCATTGATTACTCACAGACCCCATGTCTTATGAGTTTTAGCTGCTACTACAAATTACCATGGACTAGGTGGCTTAAACAACTGTGCTGGAGGCTGGGAAGTCCAAGTTCAAGGCATTGGCAGACTCAGTGTCTGGTGAGAGCCTGCTTCCTGGGTCACTGACTTCACCTTTTTGCTGGATCCTCACATGGCAGAGGGGTGAGGGAATGGTCTGGGATGTCTTTTATATGTACACAAATCCTATTCATGAGGGCTCCACCTCGTCACCTACTCACCTCCCAAAGTCCACACCTCCTAACACCATCACGTTGGGGATTATTAGCATTTCAACATAGGAGTTTTGGGAGGACATGAACTTGCAGTCCATAATGCGCAACTAGCCATCCAACCCCCAGTTTGGCAAAGGATTGAAGGCACAGAAGTGCTCAGAACTAGAGAACTCTTGCCCATGAACTTCCAGAGCCTGAACAGGAATGTCGAGGCCAGGGCTACTTTTGAGGAAGTCTGTGACGTGTGAGGGAGGAGCAGACCAGCAGACAGCTTGCAATGCGTGGGTCCAGCTGCCCCGGCTTCTCCAGCTGGTGTCAGCAGGCACACCGCTTTCCTTTTCCTCTCAAATCACTTAGGCAATCATTTCTAAACAAGATGGGACACTTATGGCTTTCCAGTACCAAGTAGGTACCTCAATGCCAAATGCTCCCTTTAACAATATCACTGGCATTTTTAAAGGAACGTTTCGCTGCAGATGACTTTCATAATTAGTATTAACTAGATTACTATTAAGTAGGGAAGGGAAAAAAATGACTCTCAAGTGAATGTTTTTTATGCTAGGGTATAGGATCAACTCTTAAAAAGCTTAGGAAAATCAGCTTTTGCAAATTATCTTTGCTGAGCCTTCCAGCTGTATTAAGAGCTGACAGTTTTTTAAGCACTGAGATGAAAGAGACAAAGTCTTTTTCTTTCGTGTTGCTAGTTACAATTTTGCTTGACATTAGAAGCCTGCTTGCCTCTTGAGACATTTGCCAGCACACATTAATTACACAAATATTTACAGGCTGCAAAAGCACAGGGGCAGCTTATACCAAAAAAGATATGGAACACTTGAAAAAAAAAGCTTCTTTGACACATTATATTTGTGGCCAGTTACCCAGCATCAGCATAAACTATTTGCCCCTTCCCCTCAGCAAACGTGTTTAAAGAACATTGTCCCTGGGTTGATTTAGTGTTTACTTGGCTGGCAATGGCTGCTGAAGTTTTTCTTCAAGAGCTTTGTGGGTGACACTTCTTTTTTTTTTTTTCAGGGTTAAAAATAAGGTTTCCAAAAATACATGTGCATCTTATAGATTGCTGTATTGTCAACACGTTTCATCTTCCAGGCCACCCACATGGCATGGAAGAGGTTTATCCTGTGGTTATTCCAAATCTCAGGAGCTTCAGAGAACTCACTTGAACGAGCTGGAGAAGCAAAGCCCCAACGCTCAGTGCCATCTTGCTCTCCTGCCATGCTAGTCAAGAGCAAAGGCTCTGGAGTCATAGCCTCGGTCAGATCCCAGCTTTGGCACTTCCAAGTTATACGATCTTGAGGAATCTCTCAAGCTCTCTAAACCTCTGTTTCTTCATCTTAAAACAGAAAGAGTT